ATCAATCACGATTAATTCTAAAGATAGTCACATAGATTTTTCTGGGGTCTGTCTTTTTCCCAGTGAAATTCTGTGGAGACAAGGCTTGGATGAGAGGGCTACCAGCCAGAAAGGGCATTGCTGCTTTTGACCCTGTCTCAAAGATCCATTTCCAGCCGGCCTTTTCTCTGAGAACAGGACAAACCAGCATCTGCTTTGAGCTCTGGTCTGTGTCATCCCACAATAACACTTGCTGTGTCCGGGAATGCATCCGAGGCTCACGTAACCCCGCAGTGCCATTTTCTCTTGGTTCCCATGATCCGTGGGCTTGTCTGATGTGCTTATCAAACAGATGCTGGAATATCACCACTTTCCTTCAGGCAGACGAGTTATAGTGTGCCTCAAAAAAAAAAAAAAAAAAAAAAGGCACAATCAAAAATAGTTTTTGTTTGGCCTGAGTTCATTCTCAGTCCCATTTCCTTCTCCGTGTCGGAGCGATGCTGTAGCAGGGTCTTAGGGTCTTGGGCTGACCTGTTGCCTAAGGATGTGGGCTGCAAACGAAGAGAAGGAAGCAGAACAGGGCCGGCTGCACCTTCCTTCTAACAACACCGCAGTGGGCTGGGAAGGGCCTGCTGCAGGTAACGCCTGATGTGCTTCCAGAACTCTGGCCCTGGGGAAGGCGGAGGAGAAAGAGAACAAAGGCTGGGGGAGCCGATTTAGGATTTGGGGGAGGGCGTGTGAAGGAAACTCCAGAGCTCCCGGGTCTGCTCTGCAATATGAATAGGAAAGAAGCCGGAAGCCAGTTTAAGTTGGGGACAGAAACAAGATCACTCAGAAAGATTCCAGCTATGGGTCTACTGGCCAAAGGGGTCAGAGTTCAGAAAACCAATGTGGAGAGGAGAGAGAATGTCCAAGACGAGAGTAAAATGGCCTAAAAGGGAGATGAAGAACGTAAGAGATGCCAGAGGGTTGAGCAATCCGGCCATGTTGACACTGGCCAGCCCTCAGATGCCTGTCCCTGCTGACAGAAAGGCGCTGGCTGGTAGGAGGCCTGGCCCTGGCTACCCGCGGGCAGTCATGTGGGCACTAGGAAAAATTTCACGTGGTGGGCAGCATGTGGCATCCAGAGACTATGAAAATAGGCACCCTACGGTATTTTAGAGATGTCATTGGCATTGGAGTCCTAACCTAGATCTATCTCCGTGATGTTTTGACCTGTAGATGGGACAAAATGATGGAGGTTCAGAAGGAAAACTTGACCGGAAAGGCAACTCTGGGACGTCTAAAGACGCCTTCGTAAAATCTTTTAGTTTTTCCAGAGTAACCAAAGCATCCTTTTATAGGGCTTTTAATTTTTTCATGTCTTGATCAAAATTCTGTTAAAAGTGAAACTTAGCATTAATGCTGATGAAGTTTTGGGGTGGTAGAGGGTTCAGGGGGTTCGGAGACGACAGCCAAGAAAGAATTCTTGAAGATGTCTTTGGTGCAAAATTGTGTTTTTATTAAAGCACAGGACCCACCCGGGGGGCAGGAAGAGCTGTCCTGGAATTGTGTAGAATGGCTGGTTATATACCTTGGACTTGGGGGAGGTAAAGTCAATAGGGTATTTCCAAAGAGACTTTCACATGCTAAAAACTTACTGGAGGCCTAGCCATTGTGAGGCTAAGGTTGTTTTTCCCTTTAGCAAGGCATTAACATTAACGGTAGGGAGTTCCTGGACTTTAGGCTGTTGATGGGATTGCCTTTTTCTGGTAAACTGGTGGAGACTCTTATCAGTTTAACCATTTGGGTTTTTTTTGTCCTTTCCTGTTTTGGGGTAGCCAGGAGTGTCCAAGGAATATCACACACGTCCTGCCAGGGCTGGGGCGGCGGGGGAGGGGGGGGCGGTGCTGGTTTGTGCTTTGTCCCTCAGCCTGCCTCACGCTTCCTCATCCAAAATCTTGGTATGTCAAGTGATTTGGAGATGCATTGAATTTTGAAGAATTTTTGTTTCATCATTTTTTAAAACTGTAACTGAAATACTTTGCAGGGCTACCACATTTTTTGAGATGTACTAGACAAGGCCCATGGATAAAGTTTCATGTCTGCCTTCAGATTTATGCGCCTTCATTCATTCAACAAACATCAAATACCTACCATGTATTGGATGCACATCAGTGAAAAAAAAAAAAAAAAAAAAAACAACAGGCAAAATATGTCCCCGCCCTCTGGAACTTGTATGCTAGATCTAATAAAAGTATTTATTTAAATTAGTTAATCATTTTATTTAGTAAGCTGTTTACTATTTTAAATCCCCTATTAAGAAATAAATGAATTAAATAGGTGATGTATAAAAAAGAATAAATACATGATGTAAAATTTTAGATGTCTAAAAATAGTCAACTAGGTACATAGTTATCAAAATCAACAAACGACTTTGCAGTTGACTGTGGTGGTCCACTGTCTGTCATGCGTGTCTGCCATATTGTTGCCTAACTTCTACTCAGTCTCTTTCGACACCGAAGCACCACATTCCATTCCACAGGGCTCTGAGCAGGTAGAGGATTCCTTAGCTAGAACTTTTATCTTTTAACTTCCTCCACTGGGTTCTGGCTCTTCCCTCTGGGATCACGTAGAGGCTTGCTACTCAAAATGTGGTCCTCAGACCAGCAGCAGCTGGGTCCCCTGGAGGCTTGTTAGAAGGGAGGAATCTTAGGCCCCACCCCATTCCAGCAGAATTAGAATCTGAATTTCAACAGGTTTTCCAGGTGATTTGAATGTCCATTAAAGCTTGGGAAGTACTCATATAATGATTGTCTGCTCTTTACCTGATAAAGAGTAGCTTTTCATCTATTCAAATAGTTCCACAGCTCTTTGAAGTCAATCTTTTTTCCCCCAGGCATGTGATGATGAGGTGAACCTCCAGGTAGAAATCAATGTCTACACATCTAAGTAGTTCTGCATGAGTGAGGCTCAAACCAGGACTGGGCACCAGGTTTCCCTACACACCATGGGTTTCATCCCTGACCATCCCTGTTTAGCTCTGAGGTCAACTATTGACCATACAGGGCTCTGGTCTTTGAGTTCCACCTGCACTATTTATGAAACCATGTACTTTGCATTTTAAATTAGACCATCCCGAACAGACCCTCTCAATTTAGCAGAAACACATTCAGGGTTTGTTTGCTTTTGTTTTTTGTTTTCTTGGTGTGTGTGTGTGTGTGTGTGTGTGTGTGTGTGTATGTGTGTTGGTATGATTAACAATGTAGCTAGAATATAATGTGGATACCAACACATTGCTCAGGATCCAAGATAGTTCTAGAGATAATCTCTCAGAGACCAGAGTGGATTGCTTCTCCCTACTTCCTTATCAACCAATTACCCTATTCTCTACTCCATGTAAATGTCATCCTTGTCTTGCTTATAATTCCTGTTTACTCGTAGCTTCTGATATCTCGTGGTAACCAAGTTGACATTCTCCTTGTATTTTCTACCTTCTGCTTCTGCTAATTGACTATCTGTATCTCAAGTTCAGATAGTTGAGAGGCAAGGCATGGTTGATTGGTTTGTGACCATTTCCCCTGCTTATCAGAGTTCTCCTGATAGGGCAGTTCATAAGGTACTACCCAGCTTACAGGATGGATACCTTATTAGGTCTCTACCCTGCCTAGATCCAGTTGGATCCTAGGATGATGACTTACGAAAAAGGGGCCCCATAGAAAGGGCTGTATATAAATCTGGCCAATTTAGTACATTCTCCATCTCGTTTATTTGTTCTTCAAATATTTACCGAGCACGTATCTTATCCCAAATGTGGTGCAGGATAAATACAAAGGTATATATGTGAAACATGGTCTCCAGTTTTACAAAGTTCATGGTCTAGTGATGGAGATACATAAGCAAGATAATGTAGCATTTTTACCCGGGAAAAATGCTATAATAGATACCTATATGGGGTGATGTGGAGATAAAAAAGATGGGATCAATTCTACTTGAAGAAGGTGAGGGAAGACTTCACAGAGGCGGCAATAAGTGCACTGGGTACTAAAGACGAGTATGGTTTAAGGCAGGATGTGTTTGGGGAGGAAGCTGGCTGTGTTCTCTTGGTGTGTCTTTGCAAGGTTGAGGGTATTGACCCAGAGCGACTTAACCAGGTGAGAACCAGGTTACTGAGGGCTTTGTAGGCCTTGCTGAGGAGTTTGGTTACATTCTGTGGAACAAGAAGAAGATTCTCAAATGACTTTCACGGGGGAATGTCACAGTTCAACGTATGTGTTGGGAAGAGACTACTTTGGTGGCAGAGGGAAAGATGGACTGGGGCTGAATGACAACAGGAGATGAAGACCAATTAGGAAGCTATTGCACTGAATGAGGAAATAAGGGTCTGGGCAAAAGGGGCCAAATATATGCCACGCATGCTGTTATTCTCCAACCCAGGTCTGTGGCCCACATTACTAAGTGATCAGGACATTCCTCTGCTGAGTCCCAGGGAAATTTCATCGTCTTACTCAACTGAGTATACAGGGCAGACATTACCAAGGGACCAGCAGTTGAAAGTCTTTGCAAATCGGGCTCAGCCCACATCACTGATGGTGGGGGAGGAGGCAAAAGAGGCTGTAAGAGTTGATGAACCTCCCAAACCCTCAAGAGTCTTTTCTTGGAGTCGTCCCCCTTACTGCTGGCTAGATGTGTGATCATCAGGTTCATTGCAATCACTGACAACCGGGTAGTGCTTTACAGCTTATAATGTAATTTTCAATTTTTAGTTTCTCACTCTAAACATGCAAGAAAGACAGGGAAAGGAAGTCCCACTTTCCTTTCTTTATAGCCCAGAAACCTGAGGCTCGGAGAACCTAGACTCCTTTGGCTCTCTGAGCTCTAAGGGCACTTCATCCCTTCGACGGTCAGCGACCGAGTAACTATTATCCCCAACTTTTTGCCACACACTGAGCATACAGTTAAGCATGACTTGGTCCTTGTATTTCTTTTTATTGCCCCATATCGGATTTATCTGAGCATATTTCTTTTATACCTTCTTCCAGATTATCAGTTCCCTGAGGGCAAAGCCTCTGGAAAATATTACTGTTCCTCATCACAGCCTGGATGCCGCACACGAGAACACCCCAAAGAGACCGGCGTGTGGCCTGGATTTGCCTAACCTTGGCTGCGACATCAGAGCTCAGGGATCCAGTTACAGATCAGCCCAGAGGTCTGTTTCTGATCAGCTCGGCAGCCATCTGTAATGCCTGCTAGTCATTTAACCTGGCAGAGAGTAAGGGCCTCTCCCCCAAATAGAGTGTAAAACCACAACCACAGCCCGCAAGACCTTGAGACGTGCAAATCCAGCGATTACCCAATGGCAAGTATGGGTGTGCTGGAAGGCAGCCTTTTCCAAGTCTTCTAAGTCCAGAATCACTTGGATCACATCACACTTGCCCAAGATGGACACAATGGGGTGCGTGACCTTCCGACTTCAACAACCCCCACCATTTCAGAGTCCTGAGGATGACTTTGAATCTGGATGCTTCTGAGGCCTCAAATGCTCACATCACCTGGAGACTCTGCAAGACCAAGAAGCTGTGGGATTGGCTGGCGGTGATGTCACAGCCATGCCAGCACTGCCTTCTGAGTGGCTGTCTGCCCCCTTGACTATCCCCTACCCCATCTTGATTTATACATGATATCTTATAATATCCAAAGCAGCGCTCAAGGAATCTTCCTTAGCCTCAGCCTCCTACCGCCACCCCAGGCATATAATAATGTCCCAGAAATACACAGGCTGCCATATCTTATTACATAAATATAGGCCTGAGAAGCTTCTTCATGTGACAGTAGGAAGCAAGTGCCACCCAGGAATGGCCCCGGGGAAGAGGGAGACAGAGCACTATCATCTCAGAGTTCTTAAGTGGAAATATTATCTCCCAGCATCGTTCCAATTAAAATTGGAAAATTTGGGGGCCCCCCCCTCCCCTTTCCGATATGTTGGGGCAGGAACACAGGGAAGGATATGCACCCAGAAGTCCTGCTTTGTTCCCTGGCTCTGCTGGGCATTTCAGTGTGTTGAGAAGGTCACTGTCTTCTGAGTTGTGGTTTCCTCCTCTCTAGAATGAGGGGAAACGGTACAACCTGCCAGGTGAATTTTTGACGGAATGAAAGGACACCACAGGTGTGAAAATGTGAAAATACAAACTACAGCTACACAAATTTTATTTCATAATCATCATAACAACAGTGATAATAATGATAAATTTCCATGCCTCTTGACCTCAGTGAAACATCTATTTTGTATGGGATGGTAATATCAACAGGAAGTACATAATATTTGACAGTTTTACAGAGGATGTTGATCCCCACTCTCCCATGTTTTATTACTTACTCCCCATTCACGGAAGAGACAAGTGTCCCTCACACAGTTGTATGAGCTGCCCAAGTCACACAGGCAGCTTAGGGTAGGTCCCTGAGGACCCCAGCTCATCTCTGGTCCCCCCAGCCCAAACCCCATGCTCTCCCTCATATGTTCTCCACAGGTAAGGGTGGGAGCAGCAGGGTGGGGGGGGGGGGGTCATGTGTATGTGTGTGTGTGTGTGTGTGTGTGTGTGTGTGTGTGTGGTGGTGCAGGGGGAGAGAGCCGGAAACCTTGGCTCTGGTTCTTCCATGCAAAGGAAACTCTAGGCTTTGGCTCATTTATATGGAGGCAGCTTCTTTACTTGAAGCTTCTTCTGTCAAAAGTAATTGCATTTCTTGGTCTCCCTCTGCTCAAGCCCTCCATCCCCTGTGCCATTTATGGTAACGGTGCCATCTGAACCAATCTCACCGCTGGTTCTTTGGTGCTAAAAACAACATTGTGTCAAGCAGACCCTTTGTGCTGAGGTAGCTCTGCTCCCTGGTCACTCTGTGCTCAGGCAACTGGGTCACCTTGTCCCTCTGCGCTAAAGTGTCTCTGGCTCTGTTCGTTCCCTTTGTTCTCGGGAATCCATATGCTCTAGTTTCGTCCATGTCCATTTGGGAGGGGTGAAGGCAGGCTGGGAATTTTCTGAGCTTAATCCTCTAGGCTGTGGGTAATTCCTGAGTTCACCTGGAAACAGCATCTAAGGCAGAGGCTGTTCTGTGCAGGTAGTTTATTTGGGCAGGGAGGGCTCTGGAGAGAGGCCCGCTGGAGGGAGACAGCGCAGGAGGGGAAGGCAATACGAGGATGTGTTACAGGTGACCGATGCTTCTCCCATGCCTTGGAGGAGACTCAGAAAATGAGAAGTCAGAGCACGAAGGAAAAACATATTTACCCATCAGCCTCTCTCCTCCATTGGTTCAGGTGGTCCTCTGGCCATTTACTTGCCCGTGTTCCCAGTTACACGCGCACAGGGCTAGCAGGTTGCGTGGTTGCTCTCACTTTCATGTCAGAGATGTCCCAGGACAGGAAGGGAGGCGGATATGTGATGTGCACCTGGGCAAAGAGAGCAGGCAACCCCCACCCCCACCCCCACCATGAGAATCTGTCACCATCCAAGCAGATCCAAGAAGATGGGCGTCACTGCTGGAAGATAAGAAGTGGAGCCCAGAAGCTGAGGAATAATCCCCATAAGGTGTCCTGGACCACAATAGCATCATGTGGACCTTCTGGGGACCAGGATTTCAAGGCAGATGCTCGGCCAGATCCTCTGTGCGCGCCTCTGAACCGACAGATGTGTTCCCTTGGCGGCACACCCCCAGAGCTGTAGCTTGGGAAGAGTCCCCCTGAATTGATGCAGACATAGAATGAGCTTTTGATTCCAGGGTGACCAGTTGTCTCCGCGACCTGAGTCTCTGATACTAGGAACAGCACAAACCATTAAGCATTTAATAACATGATTATGACAACGAGACACAGTGTGGGGAACGGAGAGGCACTTGGCAGCCTCAACAGCATGCTCCAGGCCTCGGCGAGGACCACTCCTTCCAATGAAGGGGGGTGTTGAAAATGCAGAGCAGAAAGATTGATAATTATTTGAAACAAGCTTAAACATTTGGATTGCTCCAACCGCCTTAAATCACTCTGCCATATTTATACTTGACTAGTGTTCTACATAACAACTTCCAAATCAAAGACTTGAAAAATTTCAATCACTGTGTTTTGAAGTGATTGAGAGCTCAGGGCGTGAGCGGTGTAGAAATAAGGCATATTAACATTATTAGCGCAACAAATTTCCTGAAGTAGTTACATTAAGAAATGATCAAGGCCTTAGCCTCTGTAAAAGGAGAGGGAGCGGCTTGTGGCTCAGGCATTTGGTTTTGAAAGGATCTTAACTCTTTTGATGCTGAGAAGAGATCAGTGGTCTGAAAACTGAGAACTGCAAATGGACTGTGGTGTCAGAAGGAGATCTTTGGTCATATCGGGACTGTGGGGAAAGGGAAGACGGAAGGGAGGAAAGGTAGAAGGAAAGCAACCATAAAAGTAGTTAACATGTATATAGAGCTTAGAATACGTCAGGGTTGTCTTAAATGCCTTACATATATGAATGTACTTACACTTATTCATCCCATGGTTACTCGATTGCATAAGGTAAATCCTGCTGTTGTCCCATTTCACAAGTTAGAGGGGAACTAAAGTCCTATATATAGTGAAAAAGCCACAACAGAAGCCAGACTCACTCCAGAGTGCCTGTTTTTGAAAGAGGGAAGGAAAAAACATATCTCTAACCCCAGAGTGTGCCAGAGACATTGACTCCTGAGATTTTCCTTTCATTGGATAGAGAAGGAAGCCAAGGCCCAGACGGATTGACCAAAGCCACATGGCTTGTGAGTGGCCAGCACAGGATTTTAATGCAGATCTCTTTCTGGCCCTTTCCTTCCCATTTGGGATGCTTATTAACAAGCAGCTTGCCTGGTGTATAGTGAGTGTTCAGTAAATATCAGATGCTAGACTGCCATGAAAAAGGACACCTGGCCAACAATAATTGTCCTGATTTCAGGCTATTATACAAAGAACATCTCACCAGTAGTCATGGCTCCATAGCTCTAGAGGAAGTTCAAGTGAGATGTAAACTGTTGACAGATGGAATCTCAGGAGATTCTTGCCTTGGGGTCACTCAGAAAAAGGCCTGGTTCAAACTCGAGTCATGGGTAAACTTCCCCAATGTTTCAGGAAGTGAACATTTGGGCCCCCTCCTATCAGTTCTGTGTCCTTCTGAATGCACCCCCAGAGTCCCTCTCTCCCTCTGTTGGGGCAAGCAGGGACAGACAGGATAGAAACCTTGTAGCCTCCACCTTAGTTCGGAGACAGCCATCAAGTATAAAAGAGAGGTTTCTTCTCTCTGACCTCTTGCTATTCCAAAGGGTTATGGTGAGACTTCTTAACACTTTAGACCACCCACTTGTAAATAACCAAGATTTAAAAAAATATTCTAGCTAGAAAAAATACAAATTCCTTGTTTCCCACACCTCCCTGTTCCTGAAGGCAGGCTGTAACCTTAAGCAAGCCTTAAACCTTAACAGAACTATTGATACTTTCCTGTATTTTCTCATTTAAACCTTACAATAGTCCTATGGAGTCAGAATTATTATCCTTATTTTACAGACGGTAAAACTGTCAACACAACTGAGCCTCAGCCACATAAAGCAGATGATAATCATTGCTTCATATTATTTTTGGAGTGTTTCAATGACTGATAATCAGATTAATTCCAAATTGTGTTTCAGCTTACAAATCCAGAAAATGAAAACATTTTAGGTGATCTCTTGTTTTCTTCCCAACTCCTGCATTCTAGAATCTCTTCCAAGTTTAGGAAAAGGAAAAGAAAGAAAAGAAGAAACAATTTTAAAGCTTCAACTGTGTGCCAGGCACTTGGTACTTCATTTTCACAAGAAACTTCATGAAAATGATATCAGTGTGCCCTTTGGAAGGGGGAGGAGTAAAGATCACCAGGTTGAGTTGCCCAAGACCATGAAGCTTGAAGTCACAGATCTGGAGCTCCAATCCTCTGAACAGAGAGCCTGGAGACTTTTCTCTACTTTATAGCCAGATGGGCTCTCTCCAATAATGCCTGTCCTGTGAAGACACTTCAGAGGTGGTATCTACCCCAGTTTTCTGAGCCATCTACAGCTCTATTGGATTTTGGATACTTGAGAGCTCTTTGGGCAAGGCAGCCTCATTATTTAAGGCTAAGATCTTGACTTTTGCCATAGACAATCATGTGTTACGAAAGTCAGCATTATGTGGTCGGCTTCTACAGAATTGGTGCCAAGGACCTCCCCGACCAGTAGATGATGTGAGCTGCCTCTAATCTGAATAGTGCCCCCTGAAGCTGTTCAGTGTGGTCTTGCTACCTGCGAGGTCCTCCAAAAGACTTGGGAAATCTCCATCACAACAAACGTGTAACTACATGTTTAATGTCTGTCTTCCTTGTTGGACTCTAAGCCTCTTGAAGAAAAGGGTTGTGTTTTATTAGCCATAAGCATTAGTATCAACTCACCTAAAGATAGCTGAGCTGGCCAGGCCACCACTTAATAGCTCCAGAGCTCACTAGGTGAAGTTAGTCTCTGTCTTTATACTGGGTGACTCTACAGCGGATCATGCCAAGGTGTGGATTTATGGAGCTTTTCTCAGAATTTTGTGTTTTTCCCCCTCAAAGATTGATATGTTCGTCCTTTGATGCACAATGTCCTTTAGGCTAGGCTGAATTAGATGAGAATGATACTAAAGTAAGCGTTGGGCAAGGGAGCTAGGTTGTGCTTGACATTGACAAGAAGTCAGGGTTGTAAAGCAAATCTTGGTGGAGGTTAGGGGGGTATTTGAGAGGGAGGAAAGAAAGGGAGACCCAGTATCTTAGTGGGTGGCCAAGACATTTGAGAGCTAGGGGAACTGAAGAACATAGTTCAGGACCAAGCCCATGAGTAGAGATTATGTGCCAAGGTACAACTTTTACTTAGTATCCACTCCATGCAGTTGGTTTGGGAGTACCAAGGTAAGGTGGTAACCTTCTGGGCGCTCCGACGGTTATGAGAAGCACTATTCTGCCTATCTGTCCTGTCTTTCTGCCAAATATCAGTGTGGTTGGCTGTATGTCAGTGACTGTAATGAGATTTTGTATTTGTGGCAGCTTTAAGTGACCACACTTGCAGGATTTGCCGGACTTTGATCATGTTGTCCTATGTATCACTTATGACCAGGATTCTTGGGGTGAAAATGTGATGAAGAGGCAGCGGCAATCAATTCTGAGCCCCTGGAACACATAGACACTCCCCACACCCTCCCCACCACAGGACAAATGAGATAAAGAGTGTGAAAATGC